ACTTAGCCTAAGGAATCACTGGAATTTTTTGTTTTAAAAATTCTCAACCTTTTCATTTTTAAATTTTTATTTATTTTTGAGACAGGATCTCTCTCTGTTGCCCAAACTAGTGTTAAACTCCCAGGTTCACGCGATCCTCCTGCCTCATCCTCCTGGGACTTTAGGTGTGGACCACGCCCATCTCATTTTATTTTTATATGTGGATAAGAACTAAGATAATGACCTTAAAGTGATAAAGATGATGGTAGTGACAATGACGGGGAAGGTAGTGGCAGTCAGACCTTCCTCACACAGTGATTTGATCACTCTCCACGCGCTGCCCCTGCATTAACCCAGCTGATCCCCATACACTTGCCCCGAGATGGATGGAGAACACGTGAGTTTCTGCAACATACAGAAGAGGAAACTGAGACTGAGAAACAGTAACTGGCTTAGGATCACCTCGCTGATGGACAGGGAGCACTGGCCCTCTGGGTCCCATTATCTTTTCCCCAAACAACAGTGGCTGTAATCAAAGAAACGCATCAAATAATAATAATGACAATAAATGATGATGAGGTCAGAATGTCAATGAACTGGGCCCGACTGGTCATCTGAATTTATAGTTATCTATTTATGCTTTGAGGGGAAAAAAAGTCACCTGTGCCCCAAGATGAAAATCAATGTCACATTCTTTGGCATAGCAGTGAGTTCACAAATAAATATGATTCGGACACTGCCCTCAGGGAACGCAGAGCCCAGTAGGTAGAGCTAAGCACAGGCATGAATAAGAAGAATGGAGCAACAAGATAAAAACGACACCAATTCTGGCAGGTGCAGTGGCTCCCAGCGCTTTGGGAGGCCGAGGCAGGTGGATCACCTGAGATCAGGAGTTAGTGACCAGCCTGGCCAACATGGTGAGATCCCACCTCTGCTAAAAATACAAGAATCGCTTGAACCCGGAAGGCAGAGGCTGCGGGGAGCCAAGATCGCACCACTGCACTCCAGCCTAGGTGACAAGAGCGAAACTCCTTCTCAAACAAAGAAACAAAACCAACAACAAAATACTTCCTAACACCAGGAGCCCAGGAGCACTTTCCAAGGCTGGGCCACGCCACGCTGCTTTAACTCCCTTACCCTCACAACGCCTTCATAGGTAGGTGTTACTGGCGTACCCACGGGAGAGATGGAGAGCCAAGGTTCAGAGACACAGTGTGCACGCTCCAGAGCAGAGTCCATGAGTTCATGTGTGGAAAGTGCCTAGAATGCCACTAGGCTCCAGGCAGGGAAGCAGGAAGGGGCAGGTAAGTCTCAGTGGGAGTTTGGAGGCAGAGGGGTGACTTTGGGGCAGGGGATTGGGTAGGGCTTTCTAGAAAAGGTGACACCAGGGCCAGGTCCCAAAGAATGGAGATGATTTGTATATTCAGAGTGGAGAGAGGTGCTTTCCTGACCCACACAAGAGCAAGAAGAGTAGATGCTAGGAGACAGGAGAAGGGTAGGAAGCTGGATCTGGCAGGAGCATGGACCATGAATGGTCAGCAGGGAAATGAGATGAGAGAGGCCGGAGCTGCAGGACCACAGGCTGGAGAGGGTGTTGGACACCTTCCCTTTACGAGGCAGAGTGCCTGGGTGACGCTGTCTCCTTGATTCAATCTCTACAACTCCACAATGGACTGATATTCACACAACCAGAGCACTTCAATAGCTTTCCAGAAGCCATGTAGCTGCTGTCTCCAGGCTGGGAGTCAACCAGGTCCGTCTGAGGCTGTGTCTGTGCTCTGCTCATGGCCCCATGCTCCATTCTTTGAACATGAGTTTAAGAATAGTGGATTCTTTTCTTTTTTTTTTTTTTTTTTTTTGAGACGTATTCTCACTCTGTCACCCAGGCTGGAGTGCCATGGTGTGGTCTCAGCTCACTGCAATCTCCGCCTCCCAGGTTCAAGCAATTCTGCTGCCTCAGCCTCCTGAGTAGCTGGGATTACAGGTGTGGCCACCACACCCAGCTTGTATTTTTAATAGAGATGGGGTTTCACCATGTTGGCCAGGCTGGTCTCAAACTCTTGACCTCAGGTGATCCACCTGCCTCGGCCTCCCAAAGTGCTGGGATTACAGGTATAAGCCACCATGCCTGGCCTCATTTTTATATCATTGAAGGCAAGAAAGCACTGAAGGTCACGTAGCTGGGACATCTCATAACAACTTTTATGGCATCACTTAAATCAGAGCCAGCAAAAAGGTCACTACTTGCAAGCAAGCTCCAGTAGCAGGTTCTGTCGATAACAGTGCGCACAGAGGGATTCTGAGGCCGCATCTAAGCTCCAAGGGAAGAAGCAGCATGGCCAGTGAGCACTGTGCATCATGAGTACGGACGCATGGAGCTGGTAAGGGTTCCAGGCGTGTGAGAAGCATGACGGTTTAATGGGTGCCAGGGTGCACGGGGGAGCCAGACTGCCTGAGTGTGACTCTCAGCCTTGACAACGGCCAGCCCCATGGCACTGGGCAAGCTTCTCAGCCACTTCAGCTCCAGCCTCTTCATCTGTAAATGAGGTCCTACTAAGAAAAGATGTCTTTGCCCTCTTAGGGAAACAGTTCTGAAGCCGTGGTACCAACTGAATCCCAGAAGTGGTTTTCAACCTGCTTAACTGACCAACAACAGCCCAGCTCAGGGAACAAACCTCTGAAAGCCAACCAGTGAGAGTGGCATGGTCTACAAGCCAACCAAGCAGAGGTGGATTTACCCCAGTGAACATGCTTGAACATGCCTGAACATGCCTGGATGCGCCTGGACATCTCAGGAACATGCTACTGAGATGGAGGTCAACCCACCCCCACTCTGTCCAGCACAACCCAAAACAGACTCTTCCTCTTCCTGAGTGATGGTCATTTTTGTGATCTGAGTGACAGGTATACTGGGGTTCACTGTAAACTCTATCTTTGTGTATGTTTGAAATTTTTCATAATAAAAACTGACTGTATGTTTTTTAAAATTCTAGACCAGGCACGGTGGCTCAAGCCTGTAATCCTGGCATTTTGGGAAGCCGAGGCAAGCAGATCACAAAGTTAAGAGATAGAGACCATCCTGGCCAACATGGTGAAACCCCGTCTCTAATTTAAAAAAAAACACAAAAATTAGCTGGATGTGGTGGTGTGGGCCTGTGGTCCCAGCTACTTAGGAAGTTGGGGCAGAAGAATCGCTTAAACCCGGGAGGTGGAGGTTGCAGTGAGCCAGGATAATGTCACTGCACTCCAGCCTGGCAACAGAGAGAGACTCCATCTCAGAAAAAAAAAAAAAAAAAATTCCCCACAACTCTTGCCCAAATCCAACATCTCTCTAAGGTAAATGAGAAATTCAGCTTTTTGGTGACAGATATTGAACGCAGTCTCTTCTTCTGATACCCTGGTAGTAAACTCCACTGTGCGGATGAAGTGAGTGAACATGTGTAAGGCTTGCAGAACATGTCTGACCCAGAGCACATTCACCTGGAAGTGTCTGCACACGTTCTCATTTGTCATCCCTGACTGAAGAACGCTCTGCTGTTACCTTGCAGAAACTTCTTAATAAAAGCCTGGAATCCTTCTGAGGTTCTGTTTCCAGTGGATTCTCCAATGGTGAGACCAGCGATACTGTCCAGCAAGAGCAGCTCTGAGAGGTTGGCTGACGAGGGTGTCTTGGTGTTGTTAACTAACAGCCATATGTGGGCTGTCTGTGCTTCGCTCGGCCCGGACACCTAGGGCAGGAGGAGAAGGCATGAGGGCAGATTTGCTGACAAGCCCGGCTTCCTAAAATGGGGCACGAGACCAACCTGTGCACATCAGGTCTCCAGGAAGGAGGGTGGCAATGTCTCACAGAGGTTCTGGGAATTTATCAGGCCCTGTATGATTTCAAAGACCCGCAGGAGGGTTTTGAGCCACACTTGCCAAGCTGTTGCTTGGAGACCATTTCAAAGAAACTGAGATGCAGTGAAATCATCCTTGCAGAGAATCTTAGAAGAAAAAATGTCCAAGTGTGGAAACAGGTTGGGGAGATTGTGACAACTGGCGTTACCAAGAAAAGCAAACAACGGCTCTTTGGTACTTAGTTATTTTGAAGATTCATCCTCAGCCCAGGGTCTCTGATGGTCACGTGATTTCCAGGAATGACCTGAGCAACTTATCTGCCTCCTGGATCATCTCCCACATTCAGCCTCTGCCCAGCACGTGTCTCAATGGCTCTGCTGCTGGAAGCCAGCCAGTGGCCCACCCAGCAGGCTCATCACCTGGGCTCTGCACTCTTGCCCTGCCTCCCTCTCTAACCTTGTCTCCCAGCCCCCTGCACCACCTTCTCCCCAGCTCTGCTGACATGGATGCAGGAGCTGGAAAAAAGAGAAGGAAGCAATGTATATACTGAGATGAGCGAGCTCTGGAATATAAGAAGGATAAAAGCAAGCTTCAGAATGGTGTGTGTCACATACTGCCACCTATGTAAGAAAAAGCAAAGTAGGGGGAAAGAAGGTGCACATATGTGTACCTGCATGTGCACACACCTCTGCCTGTATGCATATGGCAGAAAACGTCTCTAGAAGGATATATGAGAAACTGCTAACACTGACTGCATCCAGGAAGGCAAACAATGTCGCTGAGGGGCTGAGATGAAATGAGGGTGGCACAGTGAAGGCTTAACTCAGCAGGCCTGGGCTGTGCAAACCCTCCACATGCAACAGAAAGGACTGGCCCTTGACCAGCTCCTGAGAGATAACCTCTAAAGCCTGCGGAATATCCTTGCCTGATTACAGTGTGGGTTTTTTTTTAAATACCTTAGTCCTTAGACTTTACCAGATAGCTGATGCCAATGATCTGTGGTGGGTGCCTGGGACCCTGCTGTACTGAAACGACCCCTGGAGGGGCTGGAGAACGAGTAATTGAGGTCAGTCTCTTGGATGCTCCATGCCTATGTGACTGAGCCTGAGGAAAACCCTGGACAGCAAGACTCCAGTGAGCTTCCCCGGTTCACAGTACTCCATCCGCATTGTCACACATCATTGCTGGGAGAACTAAGCTCTGTCCACACAACTCAGCCACCAGGCGAGGACAATCGGAAGCTCACGGCTGGTCTCTCCTGGCTTCTGCAACATTCGCCGTTTTCCTTTCCTGTACCCTTTCTCTGTAATGAGCTGTAACTGAGCATAATGGCTTCTCTGAGCTCTGTAAGTTTTTCCTGCAAATCACTGAACCTAAGGCAGGTGCTGGAGTCCCCGATACAAGGATACTATGTGGAATTAGTAATCATCTTGTGGGAGGAGGAAGGTTAAAGACCTAAAAATCATCAAACAATGTTTAAAACTGCCAGGTATCATACTAATGATTACAATCTGAAAGAAAATGTATCGTACTTTTTCACATTCTAAATGATCACTGTGCATTTTTAGTGACAATTATTTAATTGTAACAAAAAAAACCTCAGTGTTAGTACTACCATATGAGATCTCAGAGCCCTTGCTATGCATTCATTGCTTGTGTGTCTAGACTTGTGTAGGTAAGCCCATGATTTATCAGTGCTTAAATACATGACTCTATTAAAATGACTTGGGCAAAATCCAATTATTTTCTCTTCAAAGGTAAATCCCCAATGGAAACTTACCAGTGCACATTTCTGAAAAATTACTCCATTCTCAGAAGTCCCTTGAAGTTCTCTTGAAATGTCTCCATACTACAATAAAAAGTAAAAGTTATTAGAAAATGAGAAATATTTCATGCTATACATAGTTAATAAAAGTACAAGATGATGAAATTTTTACAGGTGGGTAGAAGGATTATTGCTACTAATCCTTAAGTAATCTTGAAGTCTTATTTTTAAAAGAGCATTAAAGGATTGGAAATTAAAACCTACAGAAAGAAGAATGCGGACTTCAGATTATACCGCGTGTATTCCCAGTCTGGGTGCATGTGTGGGACACGTGCTGTCACTGGGACTCAGCCAACCCAGACTGATATACCAGCAAGGGGGATGTGGGCAGACCAATGAAGATATCATTTCACAGGCACCATGTGCTTCCCAGGTGTGGGCTGACTTAGTACACGCATGCACCATAGTGCGCCAGAACAAAGGGCAGTGTGTTTGGGAGCTGGGGGCGGCCTCTGTGAGCTTGATCCCTCATCAACATAGGGCATCCCCCTCAGGCTTGGCCTCCTCCAGCCCTGCAATGGCTCCTATGAAAAGATTCCAAAGGAAAGCCAGGATTCGCCCATCAAATACAAGCCTCCTGCAGTCCTTGAAACCCCAGGTTTCCGTTCCCTTTGTACTAACAACCAATGTTTGTTCATTTTTGCCCTGGCCATGCTCCCTACCCTAGGGCCCTGGCCCCTGCAATGTCCACACGCCTCCTTTAAATGGGACCAGACCCTGACTTCATCCGGGAAGCTCGCCTTGCTTGATGACCATGTCTTTCCCACTCTCTGCCTTGCGCACCTGTCACCTGCAGTGGGACAAGCTGTATTCCGAGTCATGGACTATGGCAGCTCTCAGTGATATGAATAAGCATAAGCAAATTTATTTTTTAGTTTTGTAGAGATGGGGTCTTGCTATGTTTCCCAGGCTGGTCTTGGACTCCTGGCCTCAAGTGATCCTCCTGCCTTGGCCTCCCAAGGTGCTGGGATGACAGACGGGAGCCACCATACTGGGTCTAATAACCATAAAATGTCTGTCATTTACTGAGGGCCAGGCATAGCACCCATCATTTTACATACTTGAGTTCTATCACTCCCATTTTATATATGAGGAAACGAAGGCTCAGAAAGGTTAACTCCCTTGCCAAAGGTCACATAGGCAGGAAGCTCGAGACTGTACCCAGGACTGTGTGACTCCAAATCCTATGATCTTTCCACAGCTCACATTCCCCCTCCACAGTGTAACCCTCTCATTGCGTAGAAAATCGACAAAAAGGCAGTTTTCCAAAGAACACACTGACAATGTGCAGCAATCTCGGCCTGACTCAGGTCTTTGATCAGCTGAGCTTCCATCCACCACGCCCACCCTAATGCCTTTTTAACATGCTGGGACCCTAAGAGAATTAATTTGCCAAAGCCCTCAAGCAGGGACCTGGCTTTCTCTTCTTCTGACCTTCACATTGCATCTTGTAAACAATAACTGATAGATACAGCTTGTGGGGCAAGTAAGTGCAGAAGGGACGACTGAGTGTGGAGGGTGCTGCCCTGCGAGGTGGTGATGAGTTACCTGTGACTGGGGAGGACTGGAAAGAACAGTGAGTCTGGGAATGGGTTCAGTGGTGGCCCCCAAAGGATATGTCCATGCTCTGATCCGCAGAAACTGTGAACGTGTCCTGATTTGGAATAGAGGTCTCTGCAGATATAATGAAGCTAAGGATCCCAAGAGATCATCCTGGACTATCCAGGTGGGCCTGACGTCCAATGACAAGTGTCCTTATAAGTGGCACACAGAGAAGACCCAGACACAGAGGAAGCCAAGTGCAGATGGAGGCAGAGAGGAAAGCAATGCAGCCGCAGCCAAGCAAGGCCTGGAGCCACCAGAAGCTGGAAGAGGCAGGAGCATCCTCCCTTACAGGCTGTAGAGGGGACGTGGCCCTGTCAGCACCAAGATTCCAGCCTTCCAGCCTCCACAGCAGTGAGAAAGTACATTCCTGTTGTTTTCAGCCACAACGTCTGTGGTCATGTGTTATGGCAGCCCCAGGAAATCAATAGCACTACTTAGCAGGGAGCCCAAACAAGGGCTCTTGGCCATCGTAGCTCATTGGCCAAGCTCAATGGTTCGCATACCGTGTTAAGTCACTGAACCCATGTTACATAAAACAGAATAGAAAACAACAGCAAGAGTACGGAGCAGTGGTTACAGAAGACGCTTCCAATCTGAAATCTAACACTTCTACCTGTGGACATGGAACTAGTTTCTTAATCTCCCTAATCCTCAATTTCCCATCTGTAAAATGAGAATGAAAATATGACTATTTAAGAAACTCATAATGAGGCTCAAGTGAGATTATGCCCAGAAAGTGCTAACCCCAGTGCCCGGCCCATAGGAAATGCTTGTGAGAAGCTCACTGCTCTTACGGGCAGTCATCTTTAATAGCTGGGAGTGATTCCGCCTGGTTTAAGCACAATCCACTCCCTGCTTCGGAAACACCGGAAGAGGCACCTAATTCTTTGATTCAAACCTCTTCACCATCTAAATACCGTATATCATGTAGCAGAAAGAGGGCCTTGGAAAAAGAAATGGCTTTGCTCCCCAATGATAACTATGTTTAGTGAAAGAGGAGGAATAGGCTCTTTTAACGAACAAAAAGCCTGTGTCATTTTATAAACAGCCCAAAATTGGATTCTTTCCAACTTCTGGTATTTGTGTTAAACTATTGAACTTACTACTTACCAGGCGGTGTGTTATCGGAGACTCTCTTTTAAATAAGTTCTTCTTAGGCCAGGAGGGTATAAAAGCAAAAAAGGAATGAGCCCAGGGCCCACTAGAGGCTGCAGAAGTTGACAGTGGGATACAGACTTCCATTTTCTCGTCCAATTTCACTCCAAGTGGTGCTTCCACTGGAAAACAGCAACACACATGTCTTATATAACGCGGAAAGACAGTAAGACATAGAGCTTAGCCTCTAGAGGCAGACTCCAGGGTATGTGGAAGGCACCTGGAAAATGTGTGCTGGGTAAGTTAATGAATGAATGAATGATACCACTGTGTGCTGGATAAGTTAATGAATGAATGAATGATACCACTGTGTGCTGGGTGAATTAATGATATCATCTCTCTGCCAGGAAAATGAGACGTGCTAATTGGGAAGCTACAGAACTTAAGAAGAGCGTTTTTCAAAGCCTGGTCTCATTACCTGGGTTGTGCAGCCCCACATAAGAATCAGAACCGCCGGGCAAGAATGGTGCCTGGGGTGATTCTTACGCACATGATATTAGACAGCCCTGGGCTCGAGTGCTGGCTCTGCCCCTCCAGCTATGAGTCCTTGGACATAACCTCTAACCTCTCTATACCTTGGTTTGCTTAATTCTAAGGTAAACAGCACAGGTCTTACATTACTAGGTCCTTCTGAGCACCTGCCTACTGCAGAGACCTCAGTGAACACCTTCAACCACCATCCTAAAGAGGATGTGTGCACGGCCAGACACAAACGCCTGCTGAGCCCTCCAGTAAAAAATGACTCCCTTAGATGTTTCTCTGTGTTGATACATTTGGAAAGTTCATGAGCACTGTGTGTGAAGCACAGGAATGTCACTTAAAAGGTCCTGGCTGGGCTGTCAGCGTCCTCTTGAGGCGACGCAGCCCAGGTGCTGCTCAGCTGTGGGACCTTGCACAGGTCAACTGAGTTCTCTGGGCCTCAGTTCCCTTTACCTGGGAGCGTGGTTAAGATGCCAGTCAGAGAGCGTTGTTGTCTGAACAGCCGAGCAAATGCCACACTGCACATGAACATGCTCAAATATATTAAATGCTTCAAGTCAGAAATTCTAGTTTTGAAATGACCTGGATGGCGGAGTTGTGCCTTCCTCAACATGTATCTCCTATTCAGATACAAACTACTTTGACTGGATATCTGAAAATAGCATGGACTTTTCAGTCTTTCCTATCCAGTATATTAATGGTAAGGATTTTACAAGTGCTTTTGAAACCTCCTATAGCATTTCAAAATATATGCAGGAAAAAATTAAAATTTGATAAAAAAGATGTGGACCTGGGTCCTAGATTAAATTACGGTATTTTTTTCCCTTCCTTGGGTAGTATCTGGGGGTGACTCAGTTCCTCCGGTTGGGGCTCCTACTGCATCAAGCATCGGGGGACTGACGGCCCTCGCCATGGAAACAGCTGGGTGCTCCAGCAGGTCAGTGGCTGATTCAGAGCATCAGGAATGTCCAGGTAGGGAGTCCAGGTGCAAGTGAGACCGGACATCCACCTCCGGACCCCAGCATAGTACCTGGGGCCTGGGCACAAATGCCTGTGAAGCAGCATGGACATAAAATCTACAGGCCACACCTCACCCTCATGCGCACCATCTCTGGTCCACCCATTTATGCCCCTGTGGCTCTCCTGGTCCTCAGCTTTAATGAAAACTCCAAGGCGATCCCTCCCTTCAGAGAGGATCCCTCCTCTATTCAGCAAGAATCCTGCTCGGTCTGTAGAGCCAAGTGGGGCCCACCTGAATTTCAGCCCAATCCCAGTCTGTTCCTCAGGACCCCACAGATAGGCACAGAACCCAGAAAACCCCACCCACTGGCCCCAGGGATAGGTTTGGGGACCCAGGCTGAGCCCATAGGTCTACACTGGAACTGCCACAACAGCTAGGAAAAGTCTGCGCTTAGTTAGGTGCCAGCCATCAGGCTCAGAAGCCAGGACTGCCTGCAGCATCTTTCTCACCATGGGAAAAGGATGTGCCTGCCTGAGAAGGATGCTCACCAGAGGAAAGCAGGGAGGCCGAGAGGGAGGGAGAAAGGCAGAGCCACAGGAACACCGAGAACCTCAAGCTCTGGGTCCAGCAGTACCGTGGCCTGCGTGTTTCAGTTACCGACGCGGATCAATTCCCTCTCACTTAAATGACTGTCAGTTGAATTTCAACCACTGAGTATGGCAAGCTGAATAAAGGTCCACAAAGACAGCCAGGCCCTAACCCCATGAGTCTGTGAATGTTATCTTAGGGTTGCAGACACTTTGCGGATGTGATTTGATGAAGGGCCTGGAGACAGGGAGATTGCCTGGATTATCCTGGCAGGCCCTAAATGTCATCACAGATGTCCTTGTAAGGCCAAGTAACTACTGAGGCACAACGCCATGCTGCTGGCTTCCAAAACCGAGGAACGCAGCATACCTCATCCATCTCTAAGGAACTCAGGCAACGTGGCCACAGACGCTGGAAAAGGAGAGGAAATGCGCTCTCTTCTGGAACCTCCAGAGGGGGCAGGCAGACACCTTAACTTTGGCTAGTGAAACTGTTGCAGAATATTCAGGAGACTGGAGAAACCCATGGGTGAAACAGAGGATGTTATTAAGGTGGCCACCAGCTCAGCAGATTAGCATCGCAAGGCTGAGCAAAGGAGAAAGAAAACGGGGTACTTTTTATACATCCAGAATGACTAGCAGCTGACAGGTTTACAGACGCCAGAACAAAAAACAGTTAATTAATTTGTAACATGCCTTGTGATGTACGTTACATTTGAAAAATAGCATTTTGAGAAACACATTGTACATTCTTGGGTGTTATCTTGCCCGGTGACCTTGCAGCTGGTCAGCAAGAAAAACAGGAGTCTTGAGATGCCTGGGAACTTTGCTGAGAATGTGGGGAGAATAGATAAGGTAGGTTTTACAGGGAGTTGTTAATTTCAAGCAGAGCTGGGAGTTAGGTTTTATGTTGAACACAACACAGTAAACTTTATTATGTAGCAATTACAGACTACCATTGTTACTAGTTAATTTCCCTCTTCAAAACTGATGTCGGACTTCTGCACTCCAAAACTTTAAGAGAATAAATGTGTGTGGCTGAAGCCACTGAGTGAGTGAACATTTGTCAGGGAAGCCACAGGAAACAATACACCCAGGTAATTCACACATTCTGTTTCGTTCACCAAATGCCTTCAGGGGACATTGAAAAGGGCCTACCTCACCCCAGATTCCACTGTGCACTGCCGCCGGCCAGCTCGGAGGAGGAGGCCCACAGCGCTGGTTCTGTAGGGTCAGGGAATGACCTACCTGCTCAAAGAAGAGAGGTGCTGGAAGCATCAGCAGAGTGTGAGGGAGCTGGAGGAAGGAGGGCTTCAGGGTTCTGGTTCTTTCATGCTCAAGACAGGGGAACATCAACCAGAAGAAAAACTCACCTGCAGTCTTAAAGTGACAGCATTCCACTTTGGGCCAAATCGTACAGGGCAAGTCCTAAAAATTTCAAAAGACACAAAGTCATTAATGAAGCACATACTTGTGAGCAGTGGTGATAAATAATCTTTGTAAATGGCTCACATGGAGAGGACCTGCAGTTTTATCCAGAAGTGTGAAGTGAACTTTTCCAAGCCAGCCATCCCCACCAAGCTTCTGAGTAGAGAATTCCCTTCCTTTCCCAGGGAGAGAATCAGCGCCTTCATGACTACATTTCTGGGAGCTGTCAAGGGAGGCCACACCATGTGATTGAAATGTCTTATCATCAGACGGACCTGGGTTCAAACTTCAGCCTTGCCCTCCATCAACTCTGAGACCCTGGGTAAGCCAAAAGTCTCCGGATTCCCAAGATCTCGCAAGTTTTCAGAGTGGCAGATAAGACACTCGATGGGGAGTGGAGAAAACTGGACTCCAGCTGGAGCCATTTATTTGCTGTGTGTCCTTGGCTAAGTCTCTTAGCCTCTCTGAGCCTCAGATCTCTCCTCTGAAAAGTGACTTCAAAGCCTCCCCTGAGTCGTCTCAGTCTCTTTTGTGATGGAAACTGGTCTATACTGAGCCTGACCAAACCCTTCCAATTTGTTCCTTCATGAATCGCTGGGCTCTAGAAAGACTCAGACCTCTCTACTGAATAATAATGAAAGCTCTCCTGGATGGAACCTCCTCAGTGTGTCAGTGCTTACGCTGTGTGTACCACGTGAACTGTACAAGTAGTTCCTATTGTAAACCATGAAGCATCATTTTCATTTTACAGTGCTACCCCCAGTCTACGGTAACTAGATAACTCACTCCAGAGCCCGGTACGCAAGCAGCCTGGTCCAGCACGTGTGCTCACCCTGCACGTGATGGCTGGTTTCTGTGTAATGGAAGAAGAAAGGATGTGTATGTGAGCTAAGTGGGGTGCTCAGGCCTGGCTTTGGGGTTCAGTTCCATGACTAGTTCCTGTGGCTAATGATCACGTGGCTCTCACACGGGCCAGATGCCATGGAAAGCATGAGACAGGACGGGATCAATGGGCCACTGTTGTGGCCACTGTCTGTGTGTTTCAGGCCCAGTCCTTACAGGCCTCTAAGACCCTGGCTGTGGCAGTTCTGTTGGGGTGACGTAAGCCCAGCTGGGCTGGAAGCTGATTTTCCCCCAAAGGCGCAGAGGAGGCCCCCGCACAGAGATTGAGTCTCATGCAGGGACACAGAGGAAATTACGGAAATTGCAGAGGCAGAGGCAGAGACGGGCAAGAGAGAAAACGGATGCAGCTCAATCCAGCCAGCCTTCTACCAAACCCACCCCAGTATTCCCAGTTGATGAAGCCAAACATTTGGCTTCAGTTTGTTCATATGGAGCTTCTGTTATGTTATGGGCAGTGTAAAGAATTCTATTTAAAACAGTAAATGATGGTACAAACATTCTATGGAGTACTAGGCAGCTATTAAAAGGAATAAAGCAACATGATTCAGAATTCCACTTCTGGGTATATATGCAAAGTAACTGAAAGCAGGGTCTTGAAGAGATATTTGTACATCTGTGTTCACAGCAGCATAATTCACAATAGCCAAAAGTGGAAGCAAGCCAAACATCCATCAATGGATGAATGAATTAGCTAAATGTGGTCTATCCATAAAATGAAATATTATACACACTTGGAAAGGAAAGAAGCTGGGTATGGTGGCTCAAACTTGTCATCCCAGGACTTTGGGAGGCCAACGTGGTTAAAGCACTTGAGGCCAGAAGTTCGAGACCGGCCTGGCCAACATGGCAAAACTCTGTCTCTACTAAAAATACAAAAAATTAGCCAGACATCGTGGCGCACACCTGTAGTCCCAGCTGCTTAGGAGGCTGAAGTTTGAAAATCACTTCGACCCAGGAGGCAGAAGTTGCAGTGAGCTGAGATCGCACCACTGCACTCCAGCCTGAGTGACAGAGTGAGACTTGGTCTCAAACAAACAAACACACAAAAACACACACACAAAAAGAGACTGGGTGAGGTGGCTCATGCCTGTAATCCCAGCACTTTGCAGGTGGATCACGAGGTCAGGAGATCGAGACTATACTGGCCAACATGCTGAAACCCATCTCTACTAAATACAAAAATTAGCTGGGCTTGGTGGCATGCGCCTGTAGTCCCAGCTACTAAAAAGGCTGAGACAGGAGAATCGCCTGAACCCAGGAAGCGGAGGTTGCAGTGAGCGGACATCGCGCCACTGCAATCCAGCCTGGGTGACAGAGCGAGACTCTGTCTCAAAAAAAAAAAAAAAGAAAAGAAAAGAAAAGAAAAAAAGAAAGGAAGGAGATTGTAACACAGTTTCCAACATGGGGGAACCTTGAGGAAAGTATGCAAAGTGAAATAAGCCAGTTACGAAAGCACGAGTCCTGTATGGTTGCACTCATATGAGATCCCTAAAGTAGTTAAATTCATAAAGACAGAAAGCAGAAAGGTGGCTGCCAGGGACTGGGGGGTGATAAAAATGAGGAGTTATTGTTTAATGGGGACGGAGTTTTACAAGATGAAAAGAGTTCTGGACATTGGTTGTCCAACAATGTGAATATACTTCACACTACTGACCTATACACTTAAAAATGGTTAAGATGCTAAATTTTGTTATGTCCATTTTACCGTTATTAAAAATAAAAATGGACCAGGCATGGTAACTCATGCCTGTAATCCCAGCAATCTGAGAGGCCAAGGCAGGAGTATCACTGGAGCCCAGAAGTTGGAGACCAGCCTGAGCAGCACAGAAAGACCACATCTCTACAAAGAATGTTTTAAAAATTAGCCAGATGTGATGGTGCATGCCTGTAACCTCCCAGCTATTTAGGAACCTGAGATGAAAGGATCACTTAAGCTCAGGGGTTCGAGGCTGCAGTGAGCTGTGATCATGCTACTGCACTCCAGCCTCAGTGACAGAGCAAGACCCTGTCTCAAAAAATGAAAATAAATAACTACATAAATAATAAATGAAGCAGACCTGCGTTTTCCTAGAAAGAACTCTAAGATGATTAAGTGAAATCTCCAAGTCACAAAACTATACTTTCCCATTAAATCAAAATGGGATTTTTACATATTCAGTACTATGTAATAGTTACATTTCTCTATTTACTTTATATATTTATATTAATGCACTACGTGTGTGTATTTATATATTCAATATTATACTTACATATTCCATAATGTATTTAATACTAGTATTTACACATTTAATAGAATGTACACTACAATATATCATAACACTATACTATTTTAAAGCCTAGAAAGGGGACATTCTCAAGTGTTCCCAGTGGCCACTGTGGGGGAGGAGGGGTGTGGGTGGAGGCAGGAGAGGAAGACTCATTATTTTGGTGCCACCTATGTTGCTTCATTTCTCACCATGAGGAGCACATGACCACATGTCACTGCAACACCAGTGACAACAACAAAAACAGACTCAGTAATGGGCACCAGCCACGGCGCTCCTTTGCAGGCCTGTTTCTCTGGGGTTTCGGCTTCCAAGCCTCTCACACCTGATAGGAATGCTGTCCCCAGGAGCCTCCTTGGACAGCTCGGTGGGCCCAGGACAACTGCTAGCTCATGAAGTGTCTTCTACAAGGTAGAGGAAAGCATCCTTCCTCAAGAGAACACGTCCATCTGCCAGAAACGGTTGCAAGCTTCTCAAGTGGATGGAATAGGCCTCTACTGCCACATGGCAGGAAAAAAATGTGGAGAAAACCCCACACCCAGGCTGTGCACAGCGACTTCCTTCCAACAAAGACAGTATAGTCACGCAGCCATGAACAATGGGGATATCGTCTGAACAGTGCGCCATCAGGCAACGTCATCATTGTGTGAATATGAAAAGGTACACTTACACACCCCTAGACGGTGCAGCCAGCCCCACACCTAGGCAGTACGGTGTCGCCTACTGCTCCTGGGCGACATAGCTGTACAGCAGTCACCGTACTGGATGCCACAGGCAACTGTAACGCAATGTAAGTATTTGCATATCTAAACATAGAAAAGGCACAGTGAACATAGAGCATTATAATCTTATGAGACCACTGCTGTATAGGCGGCCTGTCCTTGATGGAAACCTGGTAATGCAATGCATGACTGTGTAGAAAGTGGGGAAAGGGCAGTACATTTGTCTGCTCTCATGCTGCTAATAAAGGCATACCTGAGACTGGGTAATTTATAAAGGAAAGAGGTTTAATGGACTTACAGTTCCACATGGCTGGGGAGACCTCACAATCATGGCAGAAGGCAAATGAGGACCAAAGTCACATCTTACACAGCAGCAGGCAAGACAGCATGTTGGGGGAACTCCCCTTTATAAAACCACCAGATCTCGTGAGACTTATTCACTATCGCAAGAACATTACGGGAAAGACCTGCCCCCATGATTCAATTACCTCCAACTGGGTCCCTCCCACTTCACATGGGGATTATGGGAGCTACAGTTCATGATGAGATTTGGGTGGGGACACAGCCAAACCATATCATAGTTTCACAATGGAGCAGCCCGACAAACCCTGCTGCAGCCCAGGGACCCAGGCCAGCGCCAACAGCAGTAAGTCATGCTGACGGCACATACTCAGAAAAATTCCTAGGCAGGGCATCCTACAAGACCCCAGACCAGACTGCCTGGGAACTGTCAAGGTTATCAAGAATAAGGAAAGTCTGAGAAGCTGTCACAGCAAAGAGGAGCCCAAGGAGATGTGACAAAATATAATGTGGGCTCCTGGGTGGGACCCTGGAGCAGAAAGTGAACCTTCAGTAAAAACTAAGAAAACCTGAATGAACTATGGGCTTTAATAATAATTTGTCAATATTGGACCATTTAGTGTCACAAATGTACCACACTAATACCTAGTTAATAATGAGGGGAAGGCTGGCCATGTTGGTTCATGCCTATAATCCCAGCACTTTGAGAAGCCAAAGAAGGAAGATCGCTTGAGCCCAGAACTTCAAGATCAGCCTGGACAACATAGGGAGACCCCATCTCTACAAAATAATAATAATAATAATAAAATTA